AATGTATGAACAGATCGGCCAGAATTTTCAAATCTTTCAACTGAGTCCTGACCTGCCCTACGCGATCTTTCCTCTTTCCAGCCATATTTCTCTCGCCGTCAGTTGTCACGCCTCGAAGTCGACTCCACGGACGGTCATAGTGTTGCATATTTTCGTGTAGTTCCACGAAGATGTTTTTCCCAGTTGTCGTTCCATGCATGTTGCATACCGATGCCAACTTTTTCCTTATATGAAACCACATTGACACTACGTATGAACACGAGAAGCTGTGGCCTGCTCGAGAGTTCAGTAGTCTCATCCAGCGCCAAAAGTGCAACAAAAATGTTCAACTGAACTTCTCGAAAGACTGATGGTTGCAAAGAAATCCTCTTTATCTGGACAGAATTCATTCACAGCTTCCATCATACACTCTTTAACTAAGTTACCATGCGTAAACCATTTTCCGCCCTCTGCCATCGTGTGCCCTATTTTATGACTAGTACGAGCGACAGCTACATTTTCAAAGAACTTTCTCGCGAAGAGCATTATTTGGGTTTCTAAACCACGTTTCATGGAATCATATTTCTCCAGTCGTTGCTTCCCAGAAAACCTTGCATATGCTGGCAGGTGTTTTGTTTCGAAATGATTGTACTCTTTCAAAATGGCGACACTTTCGTCGCATATTACGCAGCTGGTTTTCTGGTGCTTTGTGTTCACAGAGAAGTACTTTACTGCACATTCTTCGTTGAAGACACGACACGCGGCGTTCAGATTCCTTTTCTTAACAACCATGACATTCGTACACGTAACTGCATCCAAACAAGCCTTGCTAATATTTCGTTTAAATCAAAACTTAAACAGCCGTACGAAAGTTACGACTCACCGCCTTGTGCCTGCGTGTACAATAACTGTGTGGAATCAAGCGGACGTTCGAGCTAAGGGAGTGTCAAACGCTACCGTTTACCGTGCGAAGTGTTGCCTAGCGGTGTGGGTGGTCCCTACGAATGGGTAACACACTCAGTATCGTTCAAGCTGTCGAAAGTGGTAAGCGACATGACGGGACTAAACATGCCTGGGATGCTGCGGTGATATTCTATGAACATGTTCAGGGTGGGGTCATGCAAATAAATGGTGGACAGTGCATTAGTGTGAAAGCCATAGGTACAGAGCTAGGATGGGTGTGTGGATTATTTAGGTGCTCAAATGTAGGTATCATTGGCGGGCTGGATGAGCTAACGCCGCGGCCGTAGTTTGGTGCCCCCTGGTGTAGAAGATAGAGTGCTCTGTCCTGTGAGACGTTTGTCCTGCTCAACGATCCCCTAGCTGTTATTCCCACCACGGATTACCGAACCCATTTCTTGTCCCAACCCAAACTTTGTGTTCTCTGGCTCTTAATCCGGATTCTGGGAACCATTATCAACTCAAGTCCATGTTCATTTCCACTTTGAGAATTTGTCCCTCCACATTCAATCTCCTACATTCTGACTTAATTTACTTTTCTGAACAACTTCATTGTCGCTTCACAGTAACGCCTGATGTACTATCGATGCTCTGTGGTGTTTCAATCTCTGTATCCTAGCGCCATTTGGACACTTACGTGAAGGCTGTTGTTACACCGACGCGCCATGAGCGCGCCTCATGTTACCTATCGTTGCAGTAGTGACGTAACAATATTCCATTGTTGATACGACGACAGTGGACAGCCTATCCAAAACTTGTCAAAATGCTTGGAACGTTAAACTGAGCACTTTGTAAGGCAATTTAATCGACCTGAATTGTCAGATTTATCGTCGGACAGTGATCGCCTTGCTCCCTTGACTGTCCATTTGGATCCGTCTTCTCGCTCAGAAGTAGAACATGAGGTTGGACTCCTGAAGTTGAACAAGGCCGCTGGACCAGATAATCCCTATCCAGCGCCCTTCAAACTCAGGGGACCTGCTCTTCCTGAGGAATTGCAATAATTATTACTAAAACTGTGGGGACAGGAAACTGTCCCAATCGACTAGAGTAGCTCCGGTATAGTCACTACTTTCAAGGGAACTTCACTTTCGGAATGCGACAACCATAGTGGGATCAGTCTGATCTCCATCGCCCCCAATTTACTTGCTTCTGTCACCCTTCACGGTGTGATTGGCCCACGCGAAAACCAGATTCGTAAGGAGGGAGACGGGTTTCGCCGAGGTAAGGGCTACACTTCACTTTGCGTCAGTTGTTGTAGCACCGTCACATATATTGGCGGCCCACCGTTGTCGTGTTCCTTGACATCAAAATTGCTTTAGGTTCTGTGATTTGATGTGTTCTGTGAGACTGTCTGCTAACGAAAGGTGTGCCTGAGAAATATGTAAATATTATCCGAGCGCTTTACTCGCGTAGCTCGGGTAGAGTGAAGGCTTACGGCAAGCTGTCGCCGCCCTTCAATATCTCCGGCGGTGTAACATGGATGCTCGCTGTCATCTTTCCTCTTCAACTTCACTATTGGCGAAGTCGTAAAAATCGCGTTCTCTGGACACGACTTAGAGGGCGAATGACTTCTTGACTTGGAATATGCGGACGATATTGCTCTAATCTGTGATAACCCAAATATGCCAATCAGCACTGGACAGATTATCACTGGCTATCAGTCGTTTCGAGCTATGCTTTGCACTCTCGATGTGCAAAGCTTTCCTCCAGGATTGGCAGAGGCCGCTTCCTGCGCTGACCCTTGGTGGTGATCAGCATAAGCTGCTGACTGCCAGTTCAAGCCGCTGGCGGTCATTGGTTCGAATCCTGATGGATCCGATGGATGCGCACTACTGACGATGCCCAAAAGACTGAAACTGCAGTCTAGTGCTTTTCCGGGCATGTGGACGACTATCTGATTTGGAAACTTGCTGCGATGAACCTCACTTAATTACATCAAAAATCCTCTACTCATGAGTACATTAAACTACCTATGCCTGTGGAATCGAAGACGAGGTCACAAACCGTATGGCAAAAGTTCGAGTCACTTTTGCTGACTTTCACCTATAGTGTTGGCGCGATATCACATTCTTCCTAACGCGTAGAGTGTGCATTACAGCTGCACGTTCGACTCTGCTGTACGGTTGTAAAACCTGTCCCTTTGGATCACCAGACGTAAAGAGGCTAGTTAGGTTCGACCACCTATGCCTTCGCAGTTCGACTCATATCTGGTTGGAACACTATGTAAGCAATAATCGTGTTCAGCGCCTTGTTTATGGCACAGGCCTCAATCTGGCAGGATTATCTCGCAAGTATCGTGTGAGTCAAAAAGAGGAACAAACAGTCCCCCTACTTTAAGCTTCGGTTCCGTTGCATAGACCACTCATGTCCAGCCGAAGTGAGCTGCCTTGCGTGATATTTGATAAGGTGAGCTTCCTGGGGTAAGATGATTCGTTGATCTTGCTTCCAGCAACGGGATCATTGACCACTACTTTAGGATGGCTCAGGAAGAGGAACTGCTCAGCATCGTTATATCACTCATCAGGCTCCGAGGGCTGGACCGCGTGTTACACATACCTGTCAACCGAGTCCCGCGACGTGCGTTTGCGCGCCGGGGTTGTGAATGAAGGAAGAGGAGGGGTGGCCAAACGATGACTTGGCCAAGAGCAATAAAGGCCCTTACTACGAAGGTGGACTCGGTTGGAACGTCCCGGCTCCCTGGTCGGGGACCGAAGGACGATGAACACGTTTGGCTGAATACACTTGTTGATATGGTTAGGAGCCTCCCCCAGTGGCGTTTGTGTTGTGAGTTTCTTTGTCTCTCTTGTCTTACCTGTCTTCAATTACGATCTGGTTTCCTAGGCATAATGTAACTTTTTGCGGCACCATAGCCGGCTGGTAGCTTTCCTGAACGATGTTCATCCGTTGCTGGTGGCTCACCTGGCGTGCCTCTGTTGCATGTTTTTCTTCTTTACTTATGTATTACAGGACAAGAGCTGAGGTGTTTTCCACCTTTAGCCAACATGTATAATGAAATGTATAGATTCTTATCCCAGTTATTTGTGTAATCGTTTTCTAATTCTAGTTTGACATCTGTTCTTCAAACACTTGCCCCCTACTGCACACTACACACTCCTCTAGATTGATGTGCGCTGCCTCCGAACCATGCATATAAGTTGGTGGTGTAGGGTGCAAATTGGCTGTTAGAAATCCATTGATGATGGTTGTGGTCTACGCGCCCCTGGCGATTTTCGCTCGGTGGTTTGGGGCGATTGCTATCTGGAAGTTACACACGGTAGAAAATCCTATGGAAATCCACCAGTGTGAATCGGATTCGGCTTTTTGTAAGTCCCTGGGTAGCGTCCACAGATGCATGGCATTTTTAATCTTTTGTGTGGACTCCCTTACTAAGTGTAGTGTGGAAGCCGTCAAAGCCTGTTGACAACCGTAGTCTTTTGTCTATACAAATAAAATGCACATGTCGCTATAGTTGTTGGTGAGACGAACGATCAAGCAATACTAAAGAATTTTCGCAAATTGAACAGTGGTCGATTAAAACAGGACCTTTTCTGCTTGTCAAGATGGTGCTCAAGAGGTACTCTTTCACTATTTCATCAACAAATTTATATTTATCTGCCATCTCTTCATTAACTAACACCGTCCCTTTTGTACGAGTTATCGACGGTTTTCATGTCAGAGGCCACTTTGTTTTACTTGCGGTTAGATTCAATCTGTCTACTTAGTCTGTCTTCCGGATTTCAAAACTGTGTAATACCTGTGCCCTTCATTTATTTTGCCGTAAGCTTGACTTCCATTTTCGCGAAGCAGCTGCTTTCGCAAATCCCCACATACCAATTGCTTTCATTTGTTGTAGTCAGCTTCCTACTGCATAAATGTGGTTCCCTGTGCTTCTTTACTGTTCAAATTTTTCTTGGATGTCTGATTTAGAATCGTTGACATTTGATTGACCTTATACATTCAGTAAGATTCTCACATCTATCCAACCAGTTCACGAAAATCTGTGCCGGAAGAAATACAGTATAGTAAACTATTTATTCACATATTTCCATTTGGTATTTTAGATGCGCAAAATCCATCGGGACATTAAAGCGGGTAACATTTTGCTCCTAAATTCCGGAACAGCAAAGTTGGCCGATTTCGGTGTGGCTGGCCAGCTGTCTGATACTTTGGCCAAAAGGAACACAGTCATCGGCACTCCTTACTGGATGGCACCCGAAGTGAGTATGGTGTTTGTTTATAGATTGCTCGGCTATGTTACCGCTTCTGAAGAAATTGATCGCGCACTACCAGTATGCTGCTAACATGATCCAGCTGGACCTAGGCAGTAGACACTGTTGCAGGAGTCTATGTATTAAATATATATATATATATATATATATATATATATATATATATATATATATAATTATTCAACACGACCAATGTACAATTTGTAGTGCTGCAACACGTAGTTAACAACAACAAAAGGGGGAAATGGGTAGTCAGTGAAAGGATATGAAAAGTTTAGAAGGCTGTGTTGTGTTGGCAGAGATCTTTCCGGTTGCCCAGGAGTCTATGTAGTTTATCACAACTTCTCAAAGGCATTCAATCGGACAGATAAACGTTTATTTTCCGACAGGTTCATTGCGTATGTTCGCCCCCCATGTCGAATACGCAATTCAAACCTAGCAGCTATGGCTAAAGCACGGCCTCACAGCACTGGAGCAGCCTCATCGGGCCTCGAAATACGTCACTGGAATGCGCAATCTGCCATACGAACGAAGGTTAAAACTTTTGAGAGTATTCAATGGACGGTATCGCCGATTACGAGGCGAGCTGATAATGGCATACCTGGTTTTCACAATCCACATCATGTGTGCCGCTCTATACTGCAACTCAGCAGTTACACAAACTTGAGAGATCAACCCTTAAAACTAGCAGAACATTACAGCCGTTTGTAGTGTCATAGAACTTCCTTTCCTATTCGCGTGTCACTCGTGGAATGAATCTATCTTTCTCGAACCGACACTAGCCATATTTAAAGGTCGGTTGAATGACGCACCCAGCCACTTTGATTTTGGTACTTATCGCTATTTATCGCCTGTTGGAGCTGTGAAACCACGCGGTGTGTGTGTGCATTAAAAACGATAAGTTCATTCTGTTGACAGTAAAAGTACCAGTTGCGCTTTTCATTTACGCGTCTCAGGAACCCCCCACCAGACCACCCAAGCGGGCTTGGAAAGCAGTGCTTCTTAACCCTTATAAAGTCATTGTTCAAACGTCAGAGCTTCGGCATTGGTCGTCATCTTTTAGGGTGGATCAGAAGCTTTTTCCTTCACAAGCGCTTATAGGTAAGAGTGCTTGGGCCTTTGTCATTTCCCACCCAAGTGGAATACAGAGTACCACAGAGATCGGTACGGGGGCAATGGTTTTTCATGATGCATACCAAATGATATAACAAAGCTCATAAGCTGCTGGTGGCATCAATGTATGGAGTGACCAATGCACAAGATGATCCAACACTACTTCAAGCCCAGCTGGATATTTCCATGAATGATCAATACAGAATCAACCTCGGTTCAATGTGGAAAATGCAGCGCACTGCACTTACGGCCAGAGGCGTAGATTAGGATGGGTGGGGCGATCCGCCCCGGGCGGCAGTTTTAGTACCGTCGATACCAAACATAAAAGGCGAAATATCCGGATGGGCTGAGGGATAAAAATGTTTATGTTATTCTGTATGACCAACACCACCTTTGAGCCATGTGCCCAACCTGTGTGCAAATGTTCCTCCCAGCAACCTCCTTACTTGTCCCATTGTGGTCACTTTCACCACATTTACCTCAGTGTTCCGAACGACCATCCAATTCATCGGAAACTAATGTGCACATTACCCTGAGCCGATTTTGAGGCCTCCACCCGCCTGTTCTGTCTTCAGTCAGAGCGAAAGTTTACTACTGCCCCGGGCGGCAAAAGCAGTTGCTACGCCACTGCTTACGGCACCAACTGACTGGGCAACTAGAAGGCTCAAACCTCTTCCGGTGAAAAGAATCTGGGCGATTTTATTCAGGCCGACCTTGGTTGTTCGGATCTGGATGAAAGTGCATCAAAAAGGGGCATACAAAACGTGGGTATCTTGCGGCGTGCATTCGGACGATAAGATCCGTCTATTTTCTGGATCTTTTCGGCGCCTACTTACGTCCACACGTGGCATATGCAATAAAGGTCTGGCAGCTATGGCTGACAAGAGATCTCGCCGCTTTTTAGTTACTTCAACACCGGGCAACTGAGAACACTAAAGGCTTGTACTTCTTGCCTTGCGAACGAAGGCTGAGAATGCTTGCGGTCTATAACAACTATTTTGAGGGATCCCAGTCACGTATGTCATCACTGCTAAAGTTCAGTCGCAACGAAAATCTGAGAGTCCAGCATCACAATCTGGCGGTTTTGCATGTTGTCGGAATATTTTCCATACATGTTTCCGAAGCGTGAAATGCCCACCCGGAATCTGTCATCTGTGCTGATAGATCACAAAACCCGAGTTAACCGTGCATTCATTACTTTACACCACCCCATATAACTAATCCCCATTGCCAAACATGAGTGTCTGCTGGAGTATGCGTTCCATATTTTCCTCCCTCGCATGTGCTCACCAGGCTGTGACACGATTTTTACAGGCGTCCCACTTGTCGTCATTCCTTAAGATTTTACAGCAGATTCACAATTTTTAGTGCGCATACAGTGAGTTCACCGGTGTGGCATCTTTTTTACATTCACTATTCACCATGACCATCCTACGAGACGTGTTAAATTTTAGCTTCCTTACCTGTATCAAACCATTGTTTCATTGAATCCGACACGGCGACGATACTGGACCTTAACGTGGTGCGAATTGTCTCTGACGATGGAAGGGCACCGCCCGCCTTAAGCCAAGCAGCTCCTGATCACATTAATGCAAACCCGCCAACTGCTATCTGCGGCTGGTGGTAGTTGCAGGTGCATAACATACTTGGTGGCATCCGATTCCGGATTTGTCACTGCGGTTCCTATAGGGCAGCCACAGGACGGCTGCGCCTACTCGGTGACCATGGGTGGTTTGAGCTGCACCACCCACAACCTATCCACGCATCCCATACCCAGTGTAAACCCGAAGTAATAAGACCGGGACGCCTGTGAATGGGAGCCACGTTTCATCAAGGAAGCCGGCCCACACTCCTTCAACATGCGCAGCAGCGGCATCGCTATCTATCTCTGTAGGGAATCACGCGTACCAGACGTACACAAGGCGGTGGCTGGGCTGTAGTCCGCTCCACACTGAATGGAAGCAACCTTTGAGCCTAGCACGGTCACGGGACCGTGCACCGCGTTCCCGCAGGCAAAGATTGGCAGTCTCCTGAAGCCAGTATAATCAAGCTGGAGGTAGTTAGATATGTAGACACATTGTCAACATTCGCATCAAGCGCAGTCACACCGGGGATATCAAATAACTAACAGAATTTGAAGGAAAATAAACATGCAAACTGGACAGTGAATGTGCGACAGAATGGCAAAACAGAGCAAATCAAGAACGTGCATTTAGTCTGGGCAAATCCGACTGCCCAGCACACGATCAGCAAGCTGGATAAGCTGTTCCAGTATTTCGCCCTTCCAGAGATGTTAGTGACAGACAACGGCACACAGTGCACTTCAACTTCCTTTCGCGAGTGGTGCAAGGAGAAAGGAATTCAGCAGATCTTCTCACCTTCCTATCATCCTGATTCAAACGGACAGGCGGTACGGTTCGTGGATACCTTCAAACTTGCCGTTTATAAAGCGTGACAAAACAAAGTTCCAAAGAACGCGATCCAGTCTTTTCTGTGCATGTGTCGGAATGCGCTAAACCCAAACGCCCTAGATGGAAAAGCCCCTGCGAAAATATTTTCGGACGAAAGATCCGTACATCGCCGATAACCTTGTGCCAGGCAAGAGAAAAAAGCGTGGCAGTTGTCAAGTGGAAGGAAATCTAATAGAAAGGCTCTGTCATTTCAAAATTTGTGACATGGTGTACGCGCGAAACTTCCGAGAACCGATGAGGTGGTCGACAGGAAGACTGACCCGCAGGAATGGCCGAGTGGTCTATGAGCTAATGAGAAATGGGTTAGACACGTCAATCAGCTGAGGCCGAATTACGGCAGCACTCCAAGTCCTACAGAACTGCCATCCTTGCGGTGGAACATCTTGTTAGACATGTTTGGTTTGGAAGATGAAGCTGAACGGCTATGTTGATCACAACAGGCGTAAATCATCCAATTTCAGCCACTTCGACCATGCTACATTGTTTGGATAAAATCGTGCATTGATCAAACTCTCGCGGCTTAACGCTCATCATCAATATACACGTCAGGTGCATGTGGAAAACACCTCAGCTATTGTGGCACAATACAAAACACAACAAAATAACAAGAGGCACGCTGGCTGAGTCCCCAGTAACGGATGGACATCGTTCCGGAGAGCTAACAGCCGCCTATCGTGCCGCAAAAACAGAGTTCTATTACGCCCAACAAATGAGATCGTGATTGGAGGGGAAGGCTAAGCGGGAGGGGGATGGACAAAGGAACGCACAACACAAACGCCATTGGGTCCGGCTCCTAACCATATCAGCAAGTGTGTTCAACCAAACGTGTTCATGGTCCTTAGGACCCCAGCCAGGCAGTCGGGATGCACCAAATGCCGCCAACTTCGAAGTGAGGGTTTTCATTTCTCTCGACTAAGTCATCGCTTGGTCTCTTCCTCTTTAAACCACATGCCCGGCGCGCAAACAATGCACGTCGCGGGAGTTGGTGTGCTGCCATGCGCAACACGTGGCCCAGCCATTGAAGCTGAGCGGTTCACTCGCCCTTCCTGCACCAAATACGAGACGCCGAACACGCTCATTGCTCACGCGATGCTCCCACCAGACAAGAGCTAAGTTGCGAAGTCAACGATGATCGAACGTGACCAGCCTCTTTATATCTGTCGACCTGAGGGGCCAGGTTTCACAACCGTACAGGAGAGGTGAACGGACGGCTGCGTTGTAAACTCTGCCCTCCAGGGTGAGAGTAATGTCGCATCTGCGCCACAGGTGGCGGAGATTGGCAAAAGCACCTCGAGCTTTTGCTCTACGGTTCATAATCTCAGCTTCGATCCCACGGGCGGTAATATAGTTGCCCGGGTACTTGGATCCCTGAACGACTTCTAGCTTATCACCATCAAGGGTCTG